TCGCCTCGACCAATCCCTCGGCTCTCCCTGATGGCTGGCTCGTCGGTATCGGTCCCTCTGTCTACTCCACTTGATTCGACAACCCCTCTCTTCGTCCTAGTAACTCGGCGAATGGCTCCGGTGCGTTCCGAAAGCTCCAGATGTATCTCGGGTTGGTCGGCTGCTCCATGCGGCGGTATCCTTCGAGTATTTCTGCCCTTCTTGGCCGGCTGTTCTATGACAGCGTCGGCCTTCTTGTGATTGCGCGCTCCACTGATCGCTGAGGCTTGTTGGGTCCGTTTAGACCGCCGTAATCTTCCTGTCGGATCGGCTGTGTCATCCTCTGAGGTACTCGGATCAACTAGGTCGGACGGTTCAGCTTGACTTGGTATTTTAGAAAGCGGGCGGACTTTAAACGCCTTCGTTCCTGATCTGGCGTTTTGGTCGTGTTCGCTTTCTTCGATAGCCTTAGCAACTTTGGATTTTGGGCGACTTCGTCCTTCCGCTGCTGTGGATTCCGATTGGTGCGTTTGGGCATCACTACTGGTCTCCACAGGACGCCATAATACTGTACAATACGTTGGGAAGGTGCTAAGGTGTAGGGATCCTTTGATTCGTTGGTCCGGTTTTACCCGCTCCTCCCGCAGACGGTACCGCAGGTACTCCAGGCGGTCAACGTCAGGTAGTCCAGTGATGGGGAGTCCAAGTCGCTCCATTTCCCCATGTACTTCGTCAAGCGTCATCTCCTTAATCGTCACAGCTATTTCTCGTCCAGCATGTGATTTCTTAAGGGTGTCCCACATCCTCAGGTTGTCCCATGGCTGGTCCTCGGATCCTTCAAAGGTGTCCATATCCTCGGTCCTGGAGGTCGGTACTCCTGCACTTGCGTTGGATGCCATTCTGCGCCAAGTAGCTAGTGCGTTGAGCACTGTGGTTTCCTGGCTTAATACTCGGTCTAGCCTAGTTATCACTGAAGGGGTTAAGTCCAGTTGAGGTCTATCACTGGGTTCCGCGGTCGCGAGGTCATTCGGTTCCCGAAGGTCTAGCGAGCCCCTACTAGCCAGTTCGACTGGTCACTAGTCCGGTTTCACTCCGCTTAGTGTTAAGTCCAGTCGGGGTTTGCTACCCGGGACAGAATATCGCGAGGTCGTACGAATCCAGCGGTCAAACCCCTAATCAACGACCTATCCAAGGTCGGCCAATAACTGGTTTCGAGCCCTTAGCTAAACAAAAGGTCTAGCCAAATACTCTCGCAGGTCTACCACAGAGAATCTTCCCAACGCAAACACAGGGGATATAAAGGTCCCAGGTCAGGCCCAACAATCGCGATCTTCTTAAAATTTACCCGGACAACTTACAATTATTATTCGGTCAGCCCACACATAGGTTAGTGAATTATTAGCTAGCAGCATAAGTATATATATAAACACAAATAATCACATATACATCGCATATAATCACAAGCACATCGCATATAGTCGCATGTAATCGCTAAATTCATTAACTTATTCGCTTCCGATTATTGTCTTATTCGCGGTCGCGGTACGCCACTTGGTCGGATCGGGGGTAGGGGGTGTTGCCCTAGCCACTAATCGTCAGTTAACTTGATGGCGTGGGCCCCACGTTGGGCGCCATTTGCGACGGGGGAGAGGGAGGGGAAAAATAAAAGACGGTATTTCTCCTGATCTCGCGCTGTCGCCAGCGGCGCGCAGTCAGCCGAGACGACGTGTGCAGCTTTATTTTATTGAGTTGGGCGCCAGCTACCGTGCTCTCGCGTTAGGAGAACGTGGTAGCGCTGCAACGTCGGCTGGTTCTCGGCTCGGTGGTCCTGCTGGTCGCTGTGAGGTCGGGTGGTTTCCCCGTCGCCTCCCTCCTTGTCGCCGTCGGTGTTCTTGCGCGCGTGGCCGACTATCACCTGTGGAGGATGAAGCAGGGGCGCGAAGTCCTAGGCGACGATTCGGTCAAGTCTAAAGCGGAAAGACGTATCGAGCGAAAGGGGAAAGGGGGCAACGGGTGGTTTCCAAGGCCACCCACGGCTGCGGCTCGTTCGGCTAGCTAGATGTTTCGGGGCATGGCGGCTCTCAATCCCAGAAGCGGGTACATCGAGGGGGGCGTCGCAGGGGCGCTCCGGTTGGCGGCTAGTGGTTCGGGGGATGATGACTCCTTCCCTGGACTGGTGGCGTAGTGGCTGCGACGGTGGCTATCGGTTGAGCGGTGATCAGGGCAGTCGGGGATTCGCGCACGCGTTTACCGATCTCAAACCGGTCGCGAAAGCTACGGGGGATGGGGCGATCAAGTGGGTGTAGTCAATAATAAGTCGGATATAAAGAAAATTCGGATTTATTATGCAAAAGAAACCCAGGTCTACCCCTAGCGATGGTCAGCCTGGTCTAGATTACTGGGGGAACGCGGGTGGCGTACTACGGCGCGAAGTCAGCTTAGACGGACAATAACTCGGTTGAATGTTTCGGGCTTCGGCTATGATTCGAATACGTAACGTCGGTTTATCTATTCGCGGCGAAAATTCCAGCTCGTTCAAAACAATTGCGCTCAGGAATTCGGTCGGTCGCGCGAAGGTTGACTACCATTCGCGGTGTTGACGTTACGTATAGCGATGCTTGCGAACAAAATAAAGGCGACGATGTACCTGAGTTTTGCCGGTCGGATGAAGGTCTAACGCGACTCGTGTGATGTTTGGATCGACTCGGAAAGGAATTTCAAGGGCGCACTCTCAGAAAACTCGTTGCACGGTTGATAGCAATACGGCGACTCGAAACTATTCCGAAAGGTCGGTGGCAAAACCATATAAAGCAACGGTGACGGGCGCGCGAAGGTCATGCGGGATTCCGCGCGCGAACATTCGGCGGTCAGGCGACTATTTCAGGTGCGGGACAAGGAACGACGTGACAAAAAAAACTTGGGGATAACGGCAAACGTTTTCGGTCAAGGCGTAATGCGCGCGAAGGTCATGCGGCACTCCCGAAAACGCGGCGGTCGGCAATGCGCGACAAACTCGCGGTTATCATTCATGCAAAGAAATCGGTAGTAAAAGGGTACTTACTCCTGGTAGATTTTGGCCGATTAATGCTCTATTTGTTATCGTTATTCCGCTATTTTATCCTGTTATCGTTATTATCGTTATTTTATCCTGTTATCGTTATTATCGTTATTATCTATTATCGTTCTTCTGTTATGCCTATTTCTCTCAATATCTTTTGTACTATTTTCACTTTCACTATCTCTTGCCTACCTCCTTCACTATTTCTTTCGTATTCACTCTCGCTTTTCTTTCCCCTCTTTTTTTTTTTGTTTCCACTTTTCACTTCTACTTTCTTTTCTAATTCTCACTCCTGCTTCTTTCTAATTCTCACTTCTGTTTCTTTTCTAATTCTCACTTCTGCCTCTATTCTAATTCTCACTTCCGCTTCTATTCTAATTCTCACTTCTGCTTCTATTCTAATTTCTGCGTACCGCGCAACGGCGAGGCTCGGCGGACTTCCTACCGTCGAGGCTTAACGGTTACTGGCGCGCCGTTTTTCGGCGACGCACCGCTTCTCCTAGTTTACTTCCCCTTCGTTGTTGCCGATTGGCTAGCTTGTTGCTAAGCCAGGTCTCAGCGCCGTCTATATTAACGTTTTTTACCCGCGCAATTTATTTATTGGTCGGTCCTTCGCGCCTAATTTGCCTACTGGCCGCGAAGATAGCGTCGGTTTTCCCTCATTAGTTCGACCACCCCTAAGCTGATAACGATTGGTCAGTCAACTAGCGTCGCTTGTCTATCTTCTTCTATCTACCGCTCGTTGGTCTTACCGATTCCCCTCGCTCGCTTCCGATCGGTCTAGCATCGGCGGTCTCGCTCGCTCTCACGCGCTCGGTCGCTCCTACCTTTAGTCTAGCTAGGCCTGCCTTAACTAACGGGGGCTTGCGATCAGCTGATCGCGACTGAAAACTTTAGGGGCTTCTAGCTCCCCGGGGGAGGGTCGGATCGGGTCGTGAGTGCGCGAGGGGTTGTACGCGAGCGTAAGGGTCGTGCGAATCGGTCAGGGAGGTTTCTAGAGGTCGTAGTTCGCGAGATCCGGGAGTGCGTGGGCGGGTGTATGTAGTCGTGGCTGTTCTGTCATAGTGCCGGTAATATATATTTGTGTGTGATAACGCATCATCACAGACTAAGTACCGAATAAGCAAAACATACTCAGGCTGAGAGTTTATTTTACTTGTACATAGTACTCTCATTGCAAGGCAAGGCTGGAGTTCAGTTCCCAGACGGTCGCAACGACGAGCAATTTATATTTTCTACAAACTTTGAATAACCTTTGACATATTATTGCGCAAAATGTTCAACCATGGGACTAATGTGTATGGTTAGCAAATAGAAACTTCGGTCGACGGTACCCCCAAAGGTCGCGCAGGATCACGGTGATAGGAAAAGGCCGCTGCGAAGACCGGGGAACTCGAGTCATCAATCTTTATGACCCATACGAAATGGTGCACCAATCCATGATTCCGTTTAGATTGTACTTTTTAAATTTAAGATTTCGAAGCACAAAGATTTGTAGATTGAAAGTATAGCTTTTAAGCTTTAATATTACAGCTAGTAAGGATATCCAATTTATATATTAGAGTTTTAAGAAAATACTTAACTCTGTCTTCGATGCAAATAATTTACCATGCTGCCAATATTTTCTACGACTAATGGTTATTATTTATAGAAATTTTATTGTCAAATATTGGAAAACTAATACGATTGTATTGCTAACTACCTCTCATTTAAAGTTATATTTTTGATATTACGTTACTTATCTTGTAAAATTGAGTGTGATAGCATAGACTATCAAAAATTAAAATAAGATTTAAATAATAAGACGACATTCTTTGTGCTTTCTAACTTTCAATTGTTTATATTTTTAGATAACGGAATATTACATTATACTATTAACGGAATATTACATATTATATTATTAAGAAATATTACATGTAGATATATTTTGAAAATTTACTTATCATTCTTTTTTAATTTATAGATGGCGAAAAGGTAAAGTTATTTTATTAGCATCATTATCATGTTGGATAATATTCACCTTACCTTTGGGATTCATCCAACCACCTGCGACTTCATGCTTGATTTATAAAAATCATTCTAGCTATCTATACGTACCTGACTCAGATCAGAAAATTGTAAAAAGGTCAACGGGTTCAGACAAAAAATTGACTACATTTCAAAATCTTTATCATTCTGTAGATTTAAGTGATTCAAAAAAGTTCCAGAATTCACATTCAGTTAACATTTTAAATTTTCAATTGCCACATGTAGATAGACATAGTGATCGTATTCTGGATTACAGTACTTGGAGAAGAAAAAAGGGAATCGACGGTGAAGAGAAAACTTATAATCAAACTAAAAATTCTAAAGATATGCGAATCGAATTTGAAACATTTTTGGAACATAATAGACCAAATAATATTCTCCAATATAACAGATTACTGAAGGTTAGTATAGAAAAACTTGCATATTTTTTTTAAAATTAATTGTAGAATATGGTTTCAGTTAGTAAAAAATGTATAAATTATATATTTTTAAAAATTTGAGATATCTTATCATAAAAAAATGATGAATCTTTCACATCCAACATTGTGATCGGTTGAGCATAGAATAGACACGGAAAATCAGTTATCATTAAATTTAAATAATAAAACGTTTAATGTTTTTTGGAAAAAAAATTGATAATGAATATAGCAAATGGATTATTTTTATTGTTATTATGTGCAAGATCGTTTTAAGAATACTAGACGTTAGTTTTTATATAAAAAATCAAATTCACAGATCCGAAGTTTGAACCGTTACCCTAATCTTACTTCGTTCACACGTATTCGCGTGAACAGAGATCATTGTATGTTTGCAACAGAGAGAAAAGAAAAAAGTAAGTATATATAGGCATATATATATTCAGACTCTAATGATTATTTGGTACGTTGTAATTCCCATTATTTAATTATTCAATTTTCCCTTTAATATTTTTTATAATCAAAAGATGAAACAATAAACTTTTTTTAGTTAAATGATTGAATTAAGTAAAACTTTTAGACGAAAGAATTATAATTTTTTAATTTTAGATTACACTGTTATGTGATATTGCTCTAATAATTGTGGGTTTTTAATAAATGCTGCTGTTAATAGGTCTGTCACAACTAATAAAAAGTTTGATCTAATGGTTGCAGAAGAGAAAACTAGTTATGTAAAGAAATTTTTATTTTCTAGCCAGTCGAATAATTTACTAATCATTTTTTATTATAAGTTCAAGAAAGATAACTGTCCTAGTTTTAACTGTTGTAATTACTGAAAGAAAAAGAAGAAAGCAATATTGATTATTGCAATTTATATTGAGTAATGATATTAAATATGAACGGGCATTGTCCATTAAGATCAAAATTCTCCAGTTACATCTATAAAGATGAAGTTGCCCCCAACTGAACTTCTTTAAACCTCTCACAAGCCGTCATATAGATAAACAACGGCGTTTTTCCTTCCTATTTTTTATTCTTATACTAAACTACTACTAACTTCTTATACTAAAATAGCTATCGTTACCAGATTGACGGTGTTATATTTTTTATAGAGCCTGGTTTTTTGTGAATTTTCTTCAAGCTCATGAATAGCTCATGAATATAGTACTCCTAATCTAAAAATCCGTTTTTAATATTTAAAACGTTATTTTTATCACAATTTTTTTCTAATTGTTGATTTTTTTATAATTAGTAAAACGACATAATGTGTTAATCGCTTTTACATTGACGCTATATATGCTCAAAAATTAAAAAAATTCAATTTTTAGCAGTTTTTTTGGTTCAGGTTAAAAACATGCATTACACTTATAGAAAAATCACTACAAATATCGCCAGTACCAATCATACAAACAGAAACCGATGATTGTATATTTAATCTTCGATTTTACGTATGTATAAACGAAGATTGGTAGTTTAATTGTTGATTTTTCATGATATAATGATAATAATAAAAAATATGTGATACATGTTGTAACACGTTCGTTTTGTTTTTCGTCCCGAACTTCGCTATTCGCGTGTCAAGGATCGGATCAAATAACGTCGCGTCACTAATTATTTAAAGCGAGGGGGGGGGGGGGTACAGAAGGCATATCTGCTCCACCGTGAAGGACGTCGATGGGCTCTTGTCGCGGTTAATCTTGATAGCCGCAACTACTTTGAAAGGAGAGAGGACAGGAGTCATCAATAACAATAATCCTTTTCATAACCATTTCTTTTATTCATATTCTTACGGTCCGCCATTTACAAAGTTTCCAATGCGACTCTACGAATGGGAAAAAGCCGGGCGAGCTGGTCTGCATGCGACGATGGAAACTGGAACTTAATTTTCGTGGGCACACGGGGTACTAGGACCAACGCAAAACAACAGAACAACACTAAAAAGGAATTTTCGAAAAATTAGGTGGTGAGAGCACAGTTGTCCTTTTTTCTGTTTTCGCTCGGGTTGCTATGTTAGTTCAAGTAATACTGTTCTCTTCCTAGTTGCGTACTGTTCCCCCTTCCATTTCACGATCGTGTGTTTCTGATTTTCGAGTTTACCAATTTACGGTTGGTCTCTCTCTCTCTCTTGTTCACGCTTGCTGTTTTCTATTGCGATCACTTTTTAGCCTACGTGCGCACCTTAACGAATATCCGTAGTTAATATATCTGACATTAGATATATTAGTTAATATATCTAATATTAGATATGTTAGTTCATATATCTGATATTAGATATGTTAGTTCATATATCTGATATTAGATATGTTAGTTAATATATCTGATCTATTTTTTCTCACTGCGCAACGGCAATCCACTATACACTCGAAAATGAAGAAAAGTGCTTTCAAAACTAAGACGCTACCTCACATATATGATGTGTTCGGGCATTTTATCAAAATCATTACTATATATGAAGCGTATTGTCATATCTATGAGAAATCTATTATTTACTATTCGAAAATTGTAATTTCAAACTTTTTGAATCAACGAAAACACTTTTTTCAGTTTATATGGATACGGTGATCTCAAATTTAAACTTGTTATGCAGATTAATTAATTAATACTTAGCAAAATTTAATCTATAAGTATAAATCACAAATAATTTTGGAGTAAACAAACGCAAAGCGAATTTGAATATCACACGACGAAATTAGTATCTTAACCCATTACGGCCCATGCAAAATCTGGATAAGATACCAACAAAGTAGCTAGACCATCCTTTGCATAATCAAAAAATAAAATGGATGTGTTTTTTTGCCACTTACAATTGTTTATAAAATATTATTCAAACAATTTACTGAAAAATTCCTAATTTTGGAATAATCAATGCAGCAATCGATTCTACGAGAACAATCATGACAAAAACTTTTATAACATTTTTTTGTCAGAGTCCAATTTGCAGTGTGAAATGAGGATAAACTTCTCACATTTCAAAGTACTTATTATTCTGAATGAAATATATACTTGTGAAAAGGTTTCTTGGTTGTATAATAAGAGTGAATAAATATTTTTGATTTTCCGAATCCTTCCGCGTTAGAAATCACGTTTGAGTGGCGAGTTAGTGGTTGGATGCAAAAATTACGGAAACAATTTTTGAAACGAAAATTTTGGATAGAGCTGTTCTGTTTAGAATTTTGTGATACGTACTATATATTTTTTGTAAATTTAAGTACTTAGTAACCGTAGATTTTATTATTCTATATTGCAACGCAACTAACAATGGCGAGATGAAGACGTATTGATCTCCCTGATTAACTTGACGATTCTGACATTGAAAAAAATGAACATATTGATATAGCATTTATTCTTGATGAACGTGAAAGTTTAAATGGAGAATCAGATAGTGACCTAGATAAAAATACATTGTCTCATGATCTTCCTACATGCACTTAGTTAAAACACGTGAAAAGTTTTTTCACAAGTACTAGAAAATTGTTGGAGCCTAATCGTATTTATAATTGGATAAATAATACTTTGATTGATATTTCTCCTTATGACGAGTATAATTTCGATATTTCACCTATTTTACTATTATTTGCTAAAAATTCTTTAGAATTATTCGAAATATTTTTTTCGCAATCAATGAAAAATCACATTATTAAAGCCACTTCTGAAAATAATTTTGATTTGTCTGCGAATGATTTGGAAAAATTTATTGTGACCATGATTACTATCCTCAATTGCCAAAAAAGTTTCTAGGACTATTGGTCAACAAAACGAATCTTTCAGTGCCTAGTAATTTTGGAACATATGCCAAGAAATAAATTTGTTGCCACCAAGAACTTGCGATTTCATAAACTTCAAGAAAAAAATAACAATGACAAAAACTGGAAGATTAGAAGTCTATATAATGTTTCTTAAGAATTAAAATCAATTTGGTTTCTTTGACTACAATTTATCAATAGATGAAGTGATGATAAAATATTATGGTAAGTTCGGTATCAAGCAGTGTATACGGAATAAGCCTATTCAATTAGGAATAAAGAAATGAGCACTCTGTTCTTCTGATAGGTATGTATATGACGTGAATATTTACACAAGAAAATTAGGCATTGATGAACGAAATCCTTTACTTGTCGTTGATTTAGGATCTAGATTAGTGATGAAATTACTTTATTCTAACTAGAGATTACTGAAAAAGAAGAACTGAATAAATTCCATGTTTATTTTGATAATTTCTTTACTAATCCAGATCTCATGATCCATTTGAGAAAAAATGGTTTATTGGCAAGAAGAACTGTTCGGCAGAATAGCGTGAAAGCGAAAGTCGAAATGCCGAAAAAAGCAGAAAGAAGAACAATTACTTCTATGCATGAAGAGAATTCAAAATTGAACTACATCACAGTAATGGATTCATAACCCGTGTCGATTCTCTCTACTAAATATGGGGATGAACCAAAATATTCAATGCAAAGATAGTAGGGATCGATTAGAAATTTTATTCCTTTTCCTCAATCTTTTCCTATGTACAATCGAAATATAGGTGAAGTTGATCTTCATGATCAGCACTGTAATGGTTTGATGCCCTCATTTCGAAGTTAAAAATGGCCATGGTATCTATTTTTACAACTTACACAAGCATCGTTATCGAACACTACAGTGATTTATAATAAGCTATACCCAGATGAAAAAAAAGGTTCTAATGAAATTGTTCAAAAAGTTTGTGAATATTACATTGTGAATATGACAAGTTATCCTCGACACGTTCTGCTTCACGCAAAAAGTAGATTGCTTCGGGCAGCTGTTCCACAGACGAACACGTGATGAAATGTGAAAGCCTGAAAAAATGTGGAGTATCAACGTATTCAGCAAGAACTGAGTGATATTGTACAAAATGTTCTATATCTGTATGCAAAGAACGTAGAGAAGGACATGGCGATGAACAGTAATTCAATTCTTCTAAATAAACTTACAATATCTTATGTAAATCATTTATGTATTAATGA